ACAAAAGCCAAAAGTATTAAAAGTGGTAAATTATACAACCCATCAGAAAGTACTCCTAGCAGCAGGTAGCAGCACTGAACATCACCAACTGGTTGCACTAATGGATATCTGAGTTGGTAGCATAACAGCTCGGACTCATCGAGCAAAAATGTTAAGAGTAAGATTTAATACTGGCCTGTAAAATTCACACAAACAAACCCTCCCAGTAGACTGCCTTGTGAAGTGCATGTAGCATTTCTGCGAGTGCACATAAGGGTTTTCCTGTTTTGTTTTTGAATGGAAGCATATTTTCTTATACTTCAATGATACACCTCAATGTTGCAACGCCGAATTTATGCAGAAATATATATTTAGCCGCTCTATGTTCTTCAGTGTAGATTCAGAGTGTGCACTCCCTTTTGTTTCATCGTCATTCAGCTGCATCTCCCTGTGCCCGGTTCTTCCTGATAAAAGGGAGTTCTTCCTCCCCACCATCGGATTGCGGAGGTTTTCTCTCTCTTACGATATGAAACGCCTCGAGGCGGCTGGTGCTGTAAATCAATTGTTGCTATCTAAATAAATTTAACTAAACTTCCAGGCTCACATTCTGAGAGCGAGTCTGAGATGTTATGTCAGTTGTAATGTTGAGAGACTGAAGAAGAAGCTACTATAAGATGTGTATCCATAGCAACAGGGTTTTTGTACTGCAGACAGTATTAGCAAGCTTAGAAGTCAGCAGAGGAGGGAAGTGTTTCTCTCCGTGTCTCTATGCGGTACCATGACACCGGTTCCTTCGTTTCTGCCTCATCTGTTCTTCTCTGCATTTATTGCTCCCCACAGACTTGTTGCTAATCTATTCATTGGGGTTTACACAATTACTGTAATGTGCTACTGCTTCCGCCTTCCTTCTCTCTTCTGTGCCGTTTAAAGGCTGGTGTGCAGCAGCATTATCCCTTTAAACCTCCAGCACAGGTTACTGTTAAGCCAAGGGTGTCTGCCCCGTCATTAGTCATTTAGTGATCACGGAGGTATAATGTCAGAGGTTAGGAATACCTCTTTTTTTTAGATACTTATAGATACTGGGAAACCTTGAAGCTTTGCTCAAAATCTTCATTTCAATCTTATTCATTGTGTCTTTTTCTTGAAAGCTGACCAATTCTTCACTGCTGCCAACAGCTGGACGAGTGAGGCAGTAAGCAGCTGTAGCAGTGCACGGCGTGAGAGTATGAGAGGAATGAGGCAAACAAAATTTATGTCGAATTTGGGGCTCTTATCATTTTCACACATACACTCAACGGACGGTCTCTTTAGAAATCGGAGGTGACTTGCGGTTTGTTGGTTTTGGAGATGTAAAACAAGAATCTGGAGCTGTGTTCCCCGTCTTATAGTCAGCATTTGACTGTCTGACAGGCCTGTCTGAACACTTTATTTCAAAGTCTGTCTCAGGTTTAAGACCTTCATCACCCATGACTGATCTAGTGGCAGTAATTTCTTCACTTCCAGGCTTAGCGCTTGCACAAGTCAGCCTCCATCCATCGATAACAATGTGCATCCGTTCTGAGCGTTACAAGCGAAGGCGTCAGTTCAGCATCTTTGGTACCGTGAAATCCCTTAATTCTTAATCTCTAACCTTTAACCCCAGCACTGTCACCTTAACTATAACCCCATAGCCCTCATAATACCAGAAGAACAAATGCTAACCTAAAACCCTGAAAAGGGTGTGTGTGTGTGTGCAAAGAGTTGAGCTGGTTCAGGCTAAATACAGCTCACTCAGGAGAGGGTTTAAGAGTTGTTAAGGGGGCTTATCCAACACACACTAGAGGCTCAGTCTTTCTCTCTGAAGGCATAGCCACATAACAACAGGCAGTTACACACAAGTATTATAATAATTGTTTTGAAGGTGCACAAAGGCATCATGATTTTTCTGATGATGACAAAGCATTTCAGAGGGAAGGGCCGCCTGTTGTGCCAAAACTGACTATCCTGCCAAAGGAAGCTCAAAACAGCTGGTAGAAATTGTTATTTAAAGGCATTAAAATGACTCAAAATCCTCGAATTATTGCAGAAAAGCCAAATGAAAACTTAATGGTTTGTTTTTACGCCAGTTTAACCAGATCCAGCTTCTTTTCTCCTTTTCCAGTCAT